ATTTATGAAAAAGTAAGAAAAACATCAACAATAAAGTCAATCTTTTGAACGCGACATAAATACAGCAGGTAATATGGCACGCTCCTGAATTCACCGTTGTACACAAACATTGATTTTCGTTGATATATTAAAAAATTCACAAATGCTTTGCATAATTTTTATTTTAAATTAAACATATGAAGTTTAACTACACATTTATAAAGATTTTAACTACTATTTTAAATCACAATCTATTTCAACAAATTTGCAACTTGTTTCAGTTTTATTACAAAAAATTGTACTTACCATTCCAATTAAATATTTTACTGGCTGAACAACAATAAGGAAGGTACTCGAAATGTCAGTTAGTCTTTAGATTCGCGTCAACTTAATTCATTCCATATGAAAAGTTATTTTTCTCCACAAACTTTAAAAGATTTCAAATCATGAAAATTCTTGCCACAAGTAATTTTTATCATAATTTATTAGTTAACGTGAAATCATTTAAAACTCTTCTTTTAAAAAGATGATATTTCCAGCTGAAATATTTATTGGCAAAATTTTTTCATTTTTTTTTCATTATTCATTTTCAATAATTTTTATCTTTAAGACCCATGTGAAATAGACAAAATGCTTTGCATACATAACCAAACCAACTAACTGCATAAAATGTTGTTTGCGAGTTCCTTCCTTATAAGTATTGAATTAGAATTCTTACCTTTTCTATAAAAAGGACATCTTAAGATTTATTATAAGTAAAAATGACTACACATTCTAATTGCATTCAAAACAATTTATTAGATCTACCGAAAAGTTACTTCACACCTAAATTTCTATTCTATTTTAAGATACATTTAATTCCGTAAATACGCTAGATGCGAAAACTAAGCTTTCAAAACAAACTGCTTTTTTCCACTAAATATTTCCTCTTCTGGTCGTCTCATTTAAGTTTCATTTAAATAAATAATTTATGTTTCAATAAAAAAGATTTTGTATGGTTTAATTAATTTTGAAAAGAAAACAAATGTAAGTAGCCAAAAATTTCTTAATTAAAAAAATCATAATTTTTCAAAAATGTATGATTTTTAAAAAAAAATGTATATGTTTCTTTTAAAAAATTATTATGTTTTTAAACAATAGTGATATTTTCTTCGAAATAAAAGTTATTATCAAAACGAGCTTTTCTATATAGGCTATCCTAGAAATAATGGTAGTAGCTTATCAAAAGTTCCTATTCTCAAACGACTTCTTCGTTTTATTTATTGTCACATTTAAATAGCATCAGTATAAGCTGTTTTATAATAATTTTTCATCTGATAAGCTAGTCGAATTACGATAAAATATCTATCGAGCTAATTTAAATAATTATTAGAAGACGCAAAATTCATAAGATGCATTTGATAAATACTGGTACAAAGGCACAGTATAGGCCGTTTAATGCCGTAAATATTTATGTGACACCCTGTATATATTTATGGTTACTCAAACGGTCTCCGTAAATTCTAAGACAAAATGATGACCAAGTAAAGTCACATAAGAGTTAGGTTTGGTAGTTTAATTCAAATCATAAACAAAGCTTTAAGTAATGACAGAAAATACATTGTAAAAACTGTGTTGTATTCGAGAACAAAACAATTGTGACTATTTTAAGTTAACATCATATTTATTTATACATATATATACTTCTTCANATATATAGGTTGCCACTATTGCTGAGATACTTTCTTTCTTACAGTGTAAAATTACGAAGATAATATACTACCAAAAGATATTTCTTAAAGAAAAATTCAATTAATTATGCTGAATTAATTCTTAAGTGATTTGTAGTAATTTTACAAAAAATAATAAACTTTCATTCTTACTATTTTTTGCATATTCTCATTCTCACTATTTCCTGCATATTGTATGATTTGTATGGAAAACATATTCTTTTTAAGAATAATCGAAGACTTTACGATAGATCTAATATACAGAATGATCCAAAAATAAAAGAAGGAGCCAATCACGAGAGGAGAAGAATTTTATTGCACTTGAAAAATATGCAATTGAAAAATATGCAATTGAAAAAAACCGTAATGAAGTGTACTATATAAAAAACAATAATTATAATCATAATGGTTCATTTTTATTTTGCTCAAAAATGTTTTTTATTTTCTATTATATTATAAATTACGCGCAACTTACAAAATTATTTTTATTTAATTTCAGAAACTTATTGTTAACACGCCTTTTCCCCTCCGACTCAACCGCCGAAGAGACGGGAAAATTTTAAATATGCTTTGAATCCTTTTTACTTTACTTATACAAATAAGCTGATATTTACGCTATTCCGTAGAATCTTACGATCCAAGTAAAGAGCAAGGCCACCATCGAATCACAATAGAATGACTAAAGCTATAAATTACTAACTTAGATCATTATGAAATTTTGCATAAAAAAAAAGAAAAAAAGAAAAAGGAAAAACATTGGAAAGGTTAGAACAGAAAAATTTATCGTCTAAAAACGTTTGCTCCCTACTGTAAGACATGCAGATATTAAGTTCTCAATAAATTTTTTTCCGCAATTAGAATTTTACAAAAGGCAGGCAGTTTAGTATTATAAATTTTTTTATAAATTGTTCCTAAAAGTTTTGGTTTTGCGTTAAAGAAATTGTTTTAGCGTATTCTAGATTGGTTCGTTTAAACTGTTATAAAATTAAATATTGAAAATCTGAAACGGACAAGTGTGTTATTTTAAATGACTTATTGTGTTCTTCATGAATCTTATAATTTTATTGCTATACATTTTTGAAAAACATCTATAGAGGTTCTAAAAATTATCAAGCATTATTTATGTTAGTCTAATATTGAGAATCCTTTATTTTAAATCTTTTTTGAAAGATATGTGAAGTGACACTCTATTACCAAAAGTCTATTAAATACAGAAAAAGAAGAAAAAAACAATAAGAAAACACAAATCTAAAATTTTAGCTAAAATCGAAGAAGTTGAAATTTTATCCTAATATATTTGAATCATCCTGTATCATTCTTATTTTTAGCACTGTACATTTCTATGATAAAAAATATATCAACTCTTCTTGAATTAGAGAAATTGCTTGTCCACTTGAGTTAAATAATTTTGCACAAGAGAGTAGACAAAGTTCCTTGAAACGTTTGTTTTGCTTTCAATTTGTTTATACAGAACTTTCTCAAGAAATCAGTTTCTTCAATGCAAGGCAGTTATTTTTAACTGAAAGAATAATCCAGTGAAAAAATTCTGCAATTTCTTGTTATGCAAGACAGTTATTCTTAACTGAATCATCTTACCGTTTCCCAGCTCCTATTGGAAATGTCTCTAACTTACCTTGCAATATGTTTTACTGATATTGCATTTCAGTTATTTTATTTTTAAAAAAAAGTTAAAGAAAGGAAATTTTCTCTAATTTACCTTTCAATTTGTTTCTGGATGCATAATAATTTCAGAATTGAATTCATGTTACTTTTTTAGTTAAAAAATGAATTGTCATTAATAAAGTATTATACTTTAAAGGGAAACAAAGACGAAAAATTACAAAGAACTTTGAAGCTAAATCCTTTTATGAGTGAATCAACTTATTTAAAGAATATATTTAAAGCATTAATAAAATGTTAAAAATGTCATTTTTCTAGTCTCATCATTAAAATTTGCGAATTACTGTAGTACATTTACAGTCCTATAAATCCACCAATCATTCTGAATTGAAATATTTTAGCAGATAAAATGAAGAAGTTCAATCCAAAATTAAATAACAATTGGCAAGTAAATGTGGATTGGATTAAAGCTAACAACTACTCACTAAAATTTAATACACTCATTAAAATTTAAATAATTCCTAAAAGTATTTAAGAAAGCTTATAGCTTTCTTAAATACTCAAAAAAATTGTTTTAAGAATGGATAAATAAGTACTTACTTTAATACTTTTTCGTTAAAAAAGATAGTTTTTTCACATGAAAAGTCTTTTGCGCATTATACTTTTATTAAACATTTAAAAAACTTTAATGCATATTGAATAGTTTCTTTTCGCCAAAAAAAAATATTTCTCTCACTAAATATAAACCTCTTTAGTGTCAGAAATTGAAGAATTATTAAAGAAATCTGATTTTCTGTTATAATAGTTTTCAAGTAGTTTTGACGTAATTATAATTCGAAAAATATATTTTCGAACAACATTTGTTTAAAAAAATTTCTATTCATAAATGGATACCTAAGGAGTTATTCAAATATTACGTTAACAGGTTTCTTCCCCCTTATCACCAATTTACAAACCCTTCTTAGACATTTACGTATTAGGAATTAAATAAAAGCTTTGTTAAAAACAAAATTCATTCAAAACTCCGAGAAGAAATTTTTGTTTCTCTTTTTGCAAATTATTAATTTTGTTTGGAATATTACGCAAGCATTATTCTCGGCAAAAATAAATACATAAATACATAATATTTGAGCAACTCAAAATGTAACTTTTTTTCTATACCTACAATAATGTTATTTTCATTAAGCATGGTTTGAACTTATTCATTACGACACTGCAAAAATATTATATTTCGAATAAGTACCATCACTCATTAAAAGTTAATTGGGCAACCAAAAGCAAAAATATTCAAAATTTTATTTAAAATTAGTAATGATTATTAATAATTCATAATAGTCATTTTAATAAAATCTCACAATAAACAGTAAAATTTTGAAAAGCTTTTGACTACTATTTATTTTTATCTAAATGAACAACTAAGGATGAATTATTAAAAAATATTTAAAATGAAAATCATCCCGTAACTTCTAATGATTAAAATTATTATTGATTATTAATAATTAGTAAAAGTATATTTATTACTTTTATAAAAATTACAATAAACTTAATAGTAAAAGTACAATAAACTTAATAGTAGAATTTTTAAAAAGTTTTCTTATTTCCTTTTATCCGTATAAAAAAATTGAATTTATCGTATTTCACATACGCTTAAATGTTCATTCCAAAACGTTATGGGAAAACATATGTTTTACCTAAAGATTTTATTCTATTTATTTGTTTTAAAATGATCCATTGATTCAACATATAGGGGCAGTAAGAGAGGTGTTTGGCGGTTGTAAATATGGCGGCGATTGATGTGCAGCAGCAGCAGCAGCGGCAGCAGCGGTTTCCGATGACCATGGTTGTAGATTTTGAAGTGCGTGCAATGATGCGTTACTTAAGCATAAAGGGTCTCTACTAGGTTCATACATAGATTTGCTCACAACTTCGGCGTGAAGAGACATCATGAGTCGGTTAGCAGCCTGTCGTTCCGCTTCTCTTTCTTCCGCAGTTTGACGCCTGAAATCAAAATAGGCTTTATTTAAAAACATTTCAACTTTTTGTTTCAAAAAATTTATTTATCGATTTATGATTTAACTCAAAATTCCAAAATGATACAATCTGTTGAATCGCTTGAAAATATATAATCTACTAAATCGCCTGAAAAGGTACAGAAATTTATTTCGTTATTTTTTTAAAAAAAATTAATAAATAAAAATAAAAGAAGAACTTTAAAATGTTCACGATTTATTTATCTTTTAATTTACTTATTTCTTTTAAATTTCATCAATTATAATACTCATTTTTAGCTTTATGATTTGCTTTGAAAATATGAAATGATACAATCTATTAAATCACCTGAAATAATACTGAAATATATTTCATCATTTTCAAGTAAAAAAAATAAAAAATCAAGGAAAGAACTTTTTAAGGATGGTGGTTCTAAAATGTACAGGATTCATTCATTTTTTAATTTAATTATTCATTTCTTTCAAATTTTATCAATGATAGTGCGCATTTTCCTATTTATTCGACCCAAAAGTCTGGAACGACAGCTTTTTTTAATTTCAAAACATCATCTATTAATTATTCTGTCAAAAAGAGTTATTATCAACATTATATCTACATCGAGACTTTCATTTTAATTAAGAATCAGTAGCATTAAGAGGTCTTGCCTTCTTGGATTTTAGGTTAAACTGTAAGTTTTCTTGATATTCTTACCTAATATAACGTTATTAGACAGCACATTACCTTTCAAAAACTGTAGAAAATAAAATCTTTATTAGAAATAGAGCTTGATAATTTTTGGAACTTCTATGAATTTCCCCGTACAGCATACAAAGTCACAGAAATGTAATAAATACATAAGAAGAAACGTAACAAAAGTGAACCAGTGGCAAAAAAGAACTATTTGCGACTTTATTTACTACATACAAAATTAACTTTCCCAGAATACAATTCCGAATAGAATTCGAAGGTTTTTATAATGATATCTTAATTATAAGGAATCAGTAGTTCACCCAATATATTCCATACTGAAAAAACTGTGTGCTAATACCTATCCGAATTAGGAATTGAAAAACTCTAAAAAGTGATTTTAAATTAATACCAAGTCGAGCAAATAATCGAGTAATTTCAAATTAATACCAAATTAAATTAATTTCAAGTTAATAGAAATTCATACACACTTTAAGGCTGTCTTTCGAACACTCTGTCGTAATATAAAAATGATGCTTTTTAGCGATTAGTATGTCATTTTTTTAATTGTTGTGGACTTGCCACTTTTATATTGTCATCCCTTGAAATAGGACATACACCTTAACCTTGAAAGAAAGTGGTTATAAATGAGACATTTTGCCATTTCTGTTTAATGAAACTTCAGACTGTTCACAATATGCTCTGAATATATAACAGAATCTGTCATGAAATAAACTGCAAAAATTGAAATAAAGAAAGAAAATAAAATCACGTGATCCCTTATAAATTTCCTTCGTGCTATGCCTATGGATAGCAACGTAGAATCTTGTCGGAAAATTAAAACACATAATTAAAAAAATAATAATGGATACCAAGATATTTCTCCCTTTTTTTATTCCAAATAACTAACTTTAAAAACAAAACGAGATATTTTTAAACAAAACCTCTTATCCTCTTGAATATAATGGAGTTCAAAAATTTCAAAACCGTATTTTCAATGAAAGTTTGCGGTATTTGAAAATTCTTTATGAAAAATAGTTTTTTGTTTCCAGATCAGGATATGGAAACGAAATTTTCGCGGTTTCAATTGGACGCCAAAAACTACAACTCTGAGAGAAAAACAAATTTTTAGTTATAAAATTTTAAAAGTTTTTAAATAACGTATTGTTAGAATACATAATTCGAGGGATGTTGGACAATATTATATTAATATTTTTGAATAGATATAATCACCATATTTTAATTTTATATTAATAGTTTTAATTATTTTAACTTTTAAGCGTCAACGCACCGCGGTCGTGCGATTGGCTCAACAACAACAATCATTGCATTTCATTAAACATATTGGGTCAGCGATTCTCAACCTGTGAGGCATGACCCCTAGGGGGCGCGAGCGCACTAGTGGGGAGGCTCGAGAATATCCAAGAGAAAATATTATTTAAAAAAAATTGATTAACTGGATGAAAGGAAAGGGTTTATGCACATAGAAAAAAAACATTTCGACATATTTAATAACTTACTAAAGTAAAACAACTTATTAAATCAAAAGTTTAGGTGGGGAGGCAATGGTGGCTTTGCTTTGAGGATTTTTCCTAATTTTCTGGTTAAGTCTGTGTGGCTGAAATTATTTTGTAAAATCTTGCAACTATCTCTAACACATATCACGTATACTTTAATAAATGAAATTTTATTTTATTGCACAATTTCACAATTGTAGATTCCGTCCCTATGGTTTCCCACAGGTTCCAAAGGTGAGCCATATATTGAAATCACTTTTTCACTTATTAAACTTATCTTTCGAAAAGACGCTTGGACTGGCAAACGTCTTTTAAAAATGCACTTTAAGTGCCTTGCTGGTAGGGTTTCCCGACTTTAAAAAAGATATTTGTTTTTAGAGTGCATAATTTGTTTATATATCATTTACATTGATAGTTCTTGTGTGACGTCACTAGCAATTCTTTTGAGTTAACTCATTAGAGTAAATCAAGAATTACTGAGTTAATTCTTTCAAAAGGGTTTACTAACCATAACTAATAATTAAGAGCTAAATAACCATACTAGAATTAATTAACCTAACCCACAACTAGCATTAAAATGCTCAAATTTACAAGAAAATACCAGAATCTACCACAAAAACACTATATAACACCAATACAAAAACACCAAAAAATAACCTGGAAAATTACTTTAAAATACAAACAAAACAAAAAACTTGAAACAAACTCTACTGAAGTGCAGAGAACTTCAAAATATTATAAAACATTTAAAAAATACCAAAGTTCCATATTTGCTTAAAATGAAACAAATCAATTGGTATTCAATTAAATCATTCCTTTTTGAGAAATAATATATTACGTACTAATTTATAATAAACTCTTATAGATTTCGCTTTTGTTTCCGAAGGTGGGCCACGTGTCCCCAAGGTGGCACCGGTGTCGGGCCATCATGGGCACATACATATGGTCACCATTTGTACCACTGAAAACAATTAATCTGATAGATTAATTCGAATTAAAGAGAAAAAGAAATAAACTTTCGGAAAACATATCATAACTCAAAGTTCTAAGAACTTATGCACATATAAATTACAATATCTTCTTCCCTGGTCAATTAAGCCACGTGCACCTCATATGCAAGATTTACAATGCAGCAGGGCCATCTTGTGATTCAAAATAAAATTAATTCTACTTTTGGGGGTGGGCTACGTTAGGAGCACTAGCCACCTTTGGTTCACCCACCTTACTTAATCAAAACATACTAAATTAAAAGCAAATTTAATAATTATTAGTGATTTCCTTGGACCTATCTTGCAGAGCAAAGTTTTTCGAGGTAAGACTTAATGTTAGAAATAGCCACTCTCAGTTCTGTTTCTATATTTAGCCGAGATATATATTTTGTCTTCAAAGAAGTCACAGCAGAAAATCCCGTTTCACAACGGTAGGATTTTGAAAATGGTAATAGAATGCGAAATGCCCTTGTTTTTAGTGCAGAAAAACCATCCTTTACTCTTGCCCGAAAGTCAACTAGTGATATATTACTAAATTGTCTTTTGGTTTCGCCACTTGTCGTGAAGTCTATGAATTTTTCTTCCTCATCCATTGAGAGTCCTTCGAGAGTCTTATGAAATGGATCCCTAACCCACTCGTAACTTGCTATCAGTTTGCCGTCAGCAAGAAAATACTTTTTAAAATTCTTTGCCAGCATAGCTAAATGATTTTCAATGGTTACAAAAATAACTTTCACATGTTCTTCTTCAGCCTTATAAGTTTTAGTACAATCATCCACACTTTCAAACATTGTTAAGTTTTTTTTCTTTAACACTAGATTGCCCAAGGAAGTCATTTTGACTGCTTTTTAATTTAAATTAGGAAAACAATGATGTATATAATGACACAATTTCTTAGAATTTTGTGACTTTTATAATTATTTTTATTGTTGATATTTACTATTAACTTGTTATATAACTGAAAATAATATCAAAAATATTAAAAATTAATTTTAAACAAATTTCTTTATACATTAGTTATTCTTTCACAATGCAGTCATTTTGACTGTTTTGGGGCAAAATAGGTATTTCAGTCATTTTAGTGTTAAATTTCTGCCCACAATTCCAATTTTCTCCAACATATGTGTGTTTGCTCCTTGGATTTGAAGATTTAAGTTATTTAATTTCTCGAATATGATGATAAAGTAGCTCAATTTCATCACAAATAAACAACCGCGAAAATTCTCGGCTTCCGGAACCCATGTCTTCAGAAAGAGCGGAAAGGAATCTCGATCTCAGGGGTCTCATTTTTATATCATTTACTACTGTTACGACCGTAGTTAACACAATATTAAAACCAGGACTCATTTCCTTCGAAGCCAAAGCTTCTCGGTGGATCACGCAATGTGTCCAGACGCATTGTTTTACAAGCGCTTTTATGCTTTGGAATCTTCCGGACATTGAACGAGTACCATCGGTACATATTCCGACGCAATTTTTGCATTCTATGTTTACCTCATTCATAAAATCATTTAAAATAGCAAATAATGTTGTTTTGAGTTCTATTGATTTGTAGAAAAGTAGTTCTACTACTGACAAATTATGACAAAATCGAACACAGGCAATTAAATGAGCATCTCTGCTGCTTATTTATACAATAAGCTCAACTTGAAACAGTTTGAGAGTGAAAATTTGCAATTAATTTGTGATTAAATTTAAATAAATTTGTGATATTTCTTATTTTTAATAAATTTAAAACAAATTAAAATTTTGAAACGAAATTTGGTTTAAGTCCGCAAATAAAAATGACTCTTTCAAATTTCAACTCCGTAATTGC